ACACACACACACACACACACACACACACACACACACACACACACACACACACACACACACGCTGCAAATCATATCATTACACTTGATTGAATGAGTTAAATATTTTTAACAGCTGTTGTCACAATGTAAATACTTTTAAGTGTTAGATTTTTTCCACATGGTTCCATTTTCATCTTCTGAATTTTTTCATATGAATTGATGATGAAATATTGTGTGCAAGAGCGTGTGTGCCTGTAGTCATCAGTCAGTCAAGAGATGTGGAGTCTGTGACCTCAGTGTACGACAGGCACTGCCAAACTCCACTCACATACACACGCATATTCGTTTTTAAAGAAAGGTGCCAGCTTTCCAGTCTCGATAGACAGCCAGATCGATTATATATATAATCTTATTTGACAGGTACAGACACAAAGACACCTGATGGGGGTAGAGTACCGGCCACAATTTACCTGCCTCTCTATCTCCATTTCAGACGCACATGCAGGCATGTACACAAGGGAGAAAATCAAATTTCCAGGCATTTTTACAGTGGGTCAGGTTGGCATTCAAATTCATTAATCTAGCATATGGGAGTCAGCTAGGGACACGTGGGGTGAGCCCTTGTAAGGAGATTACAACCCACACAGGTGCACCAGCACACAAAAAGGCACAGACAGACATAGACATACAATGGATACACATGCAAACGACGGGAGGCAAAAAACACATGTTGAGTAACATACGTGTGACAGGGGCATTGTGTTGACATTGTTTAGGTCCATTAGGTGAGTGGAAGGGTCACTGCAAAGCAAATGTGGCCACTTTTGTCCTAGAATGAAATCCTGGTGGGCGTGGTCTCAGCAACGTTCCCACTGATCAGTTGCGAGAGATGACTGGAATGGTCTGAGCAGTCAAATAATCTCAAATTAATGGAACAGACTTGAGATTTTGGACTGACATATTATCACCATTGTCAAAACACCAAATTAGAGAATCTTCTGGAAGAATCAAGCTGCATGAGAACTGAAAGCTAAACAACTTATTTCCTTTTTTTAAACGTGACAGTCGTCCATAGTCTGTCACATTCATTAGAACAAGGGCAAGTGAGAAATATAAGAAAACCTCTCTCTCTCTCACACACACAAACACACACATGAAGTGTCTCGCACACACCAGCAACAGTCAAGAAGACAACGGCTAGCAGATAGATGGTCGCTAAGCAACAGGCAAAAGACTAAAAATATGGTCGCATTTCTTCATTCACTTAGAGAGCAGGCACACGCACAAACTCACACACACACGCAAACACTTTCAGTCGTCCTCCAGCAAGGCTTATCAACCTTTAAAAAGCCTACATTTCTAAATCCGTCCCAGTATTCCTGTGTTCCTGTGGCGTCAGCAGCACTATTATCCTGCCCACTCATTCGGAAACTGGCAACTGTTACTGAAGCTTAAGTCATTGAGAAAAAAAGAAAGAGTTTGGCCCTAGTAAGAGGCTGGCAGGGGCCACGGCAATGTGCAAGTCATGCCAAACATTGAAACACTGACCTCGGTCGTGGAGGGTTCAGGCCTAGGTTTCAACATATTATGTGCTGAGACCAAATAATTACAGATCATTAAAGGGTGTGAATGTTAAATGTTAAAATGACTAGCCTCAGCCGTGAAATTCACAATTTTAGCCTCGTACAAATATCACTAATTCAAGAGATTTTTAAAGTTTTTTTTTACGGGTAAGGCTTAAAGTTAGGGGCGTGGACGCTATCTCAACCTATCAGGCAAATGTCAACGTACAAACACACATGTCCTAGTTTCACTGTGACTTATCATTATTTATTATATTTAGTGCTGTCAGCGTTAATCTCGTTAAAATGACGTTAACGCCATAACTGCATTAACGCGGCAAATCTCCGTTAGCGAGTTAGCGCAGATCGCCCTGTGCGTGGGGCTGGACGGCGCTAACGCATTAACGAGCTAACGCATTGTCAATGTGCAGCCCCATGCGTGGGGCGATTCGCGCTAACTCGCTAACTGAGATTTGCTAATGCGGTTATGGCGTTAATGTCATTTTAACGAGATTAACGCTGACAAACTATCAACAACCCACTGAATACTTCCAGTTCACATCTTCCCAATGTGGCAGTTTTCAAAATTTGGCTTTCAGACTATCCCCAGCTTTCACATGGACAGTAGAGTTGCCTTAGGTTGACTTAACATGACCTCAGCATCTGAAAGGCTGAAAACGTCTTGACCAACGCCCTTTTCTACAGGTGTTGGGACAGGACATGTCATCATGTTTAACTTCTGTAGAACAATGTTAAATCTTTGCAGCTAAAAGGAATATGGCAGATGTACAAACTCTATCATTGAAAGTGGGCTGGGGAAAACAGCTTTCCTTTATTTCCTGCAGCAAAAAGATGTACCATAGAAAGAGTGAAGGTGCAATGGATACAGGAATGTTTACCCCCATAGAGCAATGCCTGTTTGCACCAATCACCCACTTATCTTCCATTTCTACATCCACCGAACTTGGCGGGGCTGTATCAGAGGCGTGGATTGGTCACAAATTAAGGCGGCTTTGTCATGTCTGCATTTATACGGGCTGACAGCAGTGAGTGGGTTGTCCATATTTAACAATAAGGATGGCAGGCAGGTAAATTGTTGTTTTCGGTCCTATTCTTGTGTCAGTCAACAAACCAAAAAGCTAAATTATTGTTTATCTCAGGATGATTTTTCTTGAAGATCTCCGTCAGCATGGTGGATAGTTAAGAGAAAAATCGCCCACTTCCTGCAGAGTATCTCTTTCTATACTGTTTTCAACAAAGGGAAGTTAGCGTTTAATAATAATCTACTCTGACAAGCCATATGCCATCCCTTCTGTCCAGTTTCGGTCCAGCCTCCGGGCAGGACCGGGCTATTAACACCACATAATGCAGATCTGGGCTTTGACACTTTAGACGACAGACACGGATGACAAAACAGTTCACACGATACATGGCCTAATATTCTCGCTTTTAGCTATTCTGAATATCTTACTTTCACTTCCATGCACACCACGCCTGAGTTTCACAGAAAAAACATTTCACGAAAACATAATAGCACAGTTTTACCCATAAAATATACCAGATCATTTACCACATATATCTGTCGTGTGAACATTTTTATGAAATTCTTGCCAGTTATTTTGTATGTTTGTTTTTTTTTTTTACAAACTACAACCAGCAGCTTGTAGACTGCACACTGAAAACGTGATCTGTGACTATTTTCTTCTATCTCATCTTTGGATAACACACACTTGTGATTTATATGTATATATATATATATTTTTTTTATTTTTTTGTTTAGATTACAAAGAAATGTCTCGACTGGAGCAGAACAGTCATGTGATATTTCAGAGCTGCCGTACATTTCCTTCAAAGTGTCTCACTCTCCTGTGGTTTTATGTTCACACTCTTCTTGTTGCATTGGGTTTCCTTAAAAATGTCCTCTCGTTTCTCTTTGTTTCAGAGAAAAAAGTCCACGTGAGTCTTTCTTGAATACCTCCAGAGTTTTACCTACAGAGTGGGTCTTAAGATAGAGGGAATATCAATGACTTCTCACACACACACATCAACGACAGTTTCTGTTATCATGTACAATTAGAAACACTGGCTGTAGTCATGGTTCTGATTTGTCGTCAACACCGTCGTCTCGCAGTCGATCCTTCGCTCCGATTCTTGTGTTGTTCATCGACGGCATCACAGAAGTCCCTGCTTGGCTCAAAGTTGTTCACATTATCCGTAGTTTAAAGTGTAAACAATGCACCTCACGATGTGTCGTGCACAAAGCTTCAGCTTTTTCTTGGTGGACTGTTCTTGTTGGTTCTTCCTCCCCACTTTAGAGATTTCTTCACTTGAATTTGTCTTGTCCATTATCAGATCACGCTGCATTTATACGGTTTTTCATTGTTGTTATTTTTTACAATTGCACGGTAACAACATCAACACGTGACGCCACTCAAAAGTTTAGTAAAAAGTGTGGGGATTTGGCATTAAACAGATGCCAAAATGAAACAGAAACTGGCTCAATTAAAAAAGAGGGCAGGTCGGTCGGTGCTGACTACAACATTTCATCAACTTTAAGACTTTATTCCTACGGGGAAGATAAAAGTAAGGCAAGAGCAAGGGTCTGAGGAAAGTGTATGGTGTGTTTAGGGACTATTTTGCACAGTGTACTGAGGAAGAAAAGAATAAAAAGACAAAAAAAATAAAAATGAAAGGTGGTCAGTTTTCATCTCGCCCGCAACTTGGTCCCCGCAACTGCAGAATCACCCAAGGGCCCCAAGAGTGTGTATATGTGAGTGTGTGTGTGTGTCTGTGTGCATTTGGTGGAAGAGGGATTAAAAGTGTGAAGTCACTGTCAGTTTTAGAGCTCAAATGTTCAGACAGGAGCGTCCACTGATACAGTAAAGGTGGAGGGAGTGAACGAGTGACTAATACAGGGCAGTAAAAGGTTTCTACCACATATTCTTGTATATGCTATACACACTTTCTTCTTCCTCTATTTCTGTTTCTTCTTTTCTCATCTTTTCCATTTTTATCCCACTTTAATCCTCACTCTCAACCTATTTTCTCTTCAGAAGCCAGCTGATCGTCTTTTCATTCCAGCTGTCTTGGCAGTATATTAGGACAACATGAGCCTGTACACTTTGTTGTCAACTGCTGATTTTAGAAGCAGCCTCAAAAGTCAGTTTTGTACCTTTTTTCCACGATGTTGCATTTTAATTTTATGTATTCGAGAGGTTTCCTCATAACTAGACCAGAGGGAGGGGCTTCCTGTCTAAAAGAGCTGCTAATGTAGAATAAATAATTATTAATTTGGACATTTGGCAAGTTTTACTGTTTATGAGGACTCACTCTCTGTTTTTCAGGACAGAGAGGAATGTAGGGAAAAAACACATCTGATGAAAAACTGAAATAGTCTTTGGACGGATTTAAAGATTTCCTGAAAAGTCGGCCCATATCGATCCATCTCTTCTCCCTCTCTCACTGCTGCATTGCTCTCTCTCTCTCTTTTCATATTGGCAGTGGGCCTCTCTCTCCCTCTGCTTTCCTTTCCATTTAAAACCCTGGTATATGGCAATAGGCCTCCAGGGAAGCCAGCAGGATGTAAATCAGCCACAATGAGACAAACATCAGCGACGTTATTATTTTGCAAGTCCGCGGCCCACCCAGCTCGCCACCGGCGACTGTTGCCCGCCTCCGGTACAGAAGCGTGAGCACGCTCACCACAGCTAAGATAGTGAAGAGGGTGACAGAGAAGGCCAGACTTCCTGGGTCCACCTTGAAAGGTTTGCCCTTGGAGCGCCAGGCGACGGCAGCGATGGTCCATGCCACGCCAATGCCCAGAAAGACGTTAACCGCATTGGAGCCGGTGACGTTGCCGATGGAGGCGTCAGCGTACTGGTCCTGGATGGCAGCGACCTTGCTGGCAAATGTGTCTAGAAGAAAGAAAGAAAGAAAGAAAGGCTTTATTGTAAAACCCTTTTTTATGCTGCCTCATTTTTAGGGTTCTTTCTTCTACTACGTTCATCTTTTCAAAACCTCAGAGCAACCGCTTCAAACTACAATAGAAAAATCAATGTGAAAGATTAGAACAAGGCATAAAAGCAAAGCATAGACCTAGCGTCAAAACAAGACAATGACACTGTGCCAACCAAAACTATGGAAATTACTTTAATTGAATAAATTTTAGATGTATTTTTGTGAAAGACTTGCTCACAGGCTGCTGCAAAAAGCTAAAGGTAACAACTGTTTTCCACTTAAAAACATACAAGTGAACATCATGTCATTCAAGAATGGAAAGAGAAGCATAAAGACAGGACAAAACTGTGACGTGGTTGTTCTTTTTTTTACAGGCAGACACTGATTATCAGTCTAAGGAAAAAAAAGTTACAACACCTAGGAAGAAGAAAAGCAACTGTACCGATAACTGAGGACATAATACTCAAAGACAGACAAAGGACGAACAAATGCTTGGGTGACAGCCAAATACAGCAGAAGATTTTATAACCTGCATAATTTAAATATGCAATGCTGTCAAATCCAATCAGTAGATATTTGGTTACACTGGTGCTTATCCAGTCAGCTATCACGAAGATGATGGGGAGTCATACATAAGATTTTATAAAAAAAGGTTTGTTGCAGACACTGGAAGTCATTGATGAGTGAAATCCTGACATTTCCGGGAATATCCTACATGTCAGTTAAAGTCAAACTCAGTTCTTCACTCTTGGTAGATCACCTAACACTTGCTGACATCTTATACACCCACAGTTTCTATGTATCTGCAAGCCCCTTTGCAACCACAAAGGTCAGTTCCTCCATTCCTTTTGCATAAATATTATATAAGCAACAGCATAAATATTATCACAGATGTGTAACACTGTATGTGTAATTGAAAGGATTACACACTCACTTGCCACTTTTTTTTAGGTACACCTTGCTACAACGAAACCATTGATACAAACAAACAATATTGTTTAGTTTTAAATGCCTGTGATCTATTGTCCACGAGATCATGCTCTAACAGGAGCAGCACCTGGTCTTTCGCTGCTGTAGCCAATCTGCTTCAAGGTTTGATGCACTGTGCATTCAGAGATGCTCCTCTGCAGACCTTAATTGTATTATGTGATTATTTGACTTACTGTTTAATTCCTATGCAGTCCTATTAAAGCCATTCTCTGACCTCTGGCATCAACAAGACAAAGAACTGACACTCATTGGTTATTTTGCTTTTTTGGATCATTCTCTGTAAACCTTAAAGAGGTGGTTGTGTTGAAAATCTGCTGTTTCTAAAGCACCCACATTCAGCCCATCTGTAAGGTGGCCCTGAGAGGCCAAATGGACTACAACTTAAGAAAAGACCAGCAATAAGAAAAACGCTGCAATAACACACAAAACACAACGGAAATAGGAAGAAATGAAAACGGAAATAGAAAAAACGAAAACAGAAATAGGTAAAAATAAATTTCTAAAAGCACAAGGGAAGTGTTTCTGGGGAGGCAATAACCCGACGGACCAGTTGCAGGAACCAAAATATGCAATAAGAATTGTGCTGGGAGACGCTTAAAAGAAGTGGAGGATCTATCGGTAACTGTGTTAGCCTAACTATTAGCCTAAAAATCTGTCATCAGTATTATATGAATCATGAGATTAAAACACATCTACCATGTTTTGGGCGCCTGCAACTGGTCCGTCGGGTTATTGTCTCCCCAGAAACACTTCCCTTGTGCTTTTGGAAATCTGTCTTTTCCTAATTCTGTTTTTGTTTTTCCGATTTCCATTGTGTTTTGTGTGTTTTTGCAGCGTTTTTCTTATTGCTGGTCTTTTCTTAAGTTGTAGTCCGTTTGGCCTCTCAGGGCCACCGTACATCTGGCACCAACGACCATCAAATACACTTAAATCACCTTTCTTCCCCATTCTGATGGTCAGTTTGAATTTCGGCAGATCTTCTTGACTATGACTGCATTCGCAAATGCAGCTGTGATGTGATTCGCTGATTAGATACATGCAATGACGAGCTGTTGAATCAAAGCAACTTACAAAGTGGACGGTGAGTGTATACTGCATAAGGAAATAACAATCTGTCAGCCACAGTTAAAGTCTCTTAGTCCATATTTTTGTAATCATGCTCCATGGAGCTGAATCAGTGGTTTAATGCTGGTTGCTCAGTGGTTGCCCTGTGTCCAGGTTATATCTTTAGAGAGAAATTTCCACCCCTGTGGGATCCCTGTGGAATGATCATTTCTGTGTTCACATTGGGTCACTGTTTGAGGCGAGAGCCTTTAGAGTTACATTATCAAAATTTATGTGCATTTAAAGAAGCCTCAGGAGGTTTGCGTTGCTCCGCGATACACAGTTTTGTCAGAAATTGATTCACTTGCCATATATCGTTTTTTTATGCACACTGGGCAGAATTAAACATCACTTGCATTAGTTTCAGAGAAGATTTATTAGTCCTGCTGCAATTTACAGTTGTGTTCTGGCATCAGAACAACCAAAATCAATGTAATAAATGCTGTGAAATGCTGTAGGTGTACACTAAGTGTGCTCCGTGGTACAGGATATGTGAGGAGAAACTGGATGAAAAGCAGAGAGACTACAACTGGGTTGGCAGGGAATACCGGCGGAAGCTGCTGCCAGTTACTGAACGTCTGCTTTTAGACAGGCTGGTGAGAAGAGCCTCAATTTCCATTTGAATGTCAGTGAGATTAGCTGAAATTCGTATCCCAACATTAAAACTGTCCTCCAAATTTTTTCGGGGGGGGGGACTGTAATCCTGCTGGGGGTAGACCACACAAAAAACAAGTGTGTGTGTGCACATAGGGGCAGCCATATAACTCCACATTACTGCCTCCAAATAAGATCATCAGACACATGTTAGAGATGCAGTGGGACAAAATCCAGCAGCATCACAGACTCTGAATTAGCAATGTTTCTTAAAAGGAATCAGTTTGCTAAAGAAATATCTTCACTTCTCTAAAAAGCAACTTGAATCCCAATAGGTGCTCAATGAACATTTATTTGCTATTTCATATAAGGCTGTTCGATATAAGATATATATCGGATGATGATATGAAAACATCTATTGTTTCATTTTACGCTATCGTTTGTTTCGTGGTGTCGCAAAATAAACTGTTTACGGCAATATTTTTTCATGACTTTGATGGTCACTGTAGTTTATTAATTTCTTAATTTCTTGCCTCCCTCCGGCTGTGTGCCCAGCCTGGAGGCTGCGGTCTGTGACCGGCTCCCGGTGCAGACGGCTCCCTGTTATAGTGTTTCCTCACTTGGCTCATGCGAGTCCAGCCCAATTTTTACTCTTTAAGTGTGCGCGTGTGTGTATGTGTGTGTGGGTGGGGGTGGGGGGATATATGTGTATTGAGAGTGTGGGGAGTGAGTTGGAGGGTGGGGTGGGCTGCTTTTAACTATGTAAAGCACTTTGTGCTACATTTTTCTGTATGAAAAGTGCTTTATAAATAAAGATTGATTGATTGATTGATTGATTAAAGTTCTCTTTCTCTTATATTTAAAATAACCACGCTACAGGACAAGCGACTGTTTTTACATTGTTGTTAGCAACAATGACGGTAAACCCAGCGTGTGGCTCCGCGTCCACTTGTTTATTTTCCACATAAACCTTTCACAATAAAGCTGAAGATCCTGTTGAGATTTTTCAAAATAAACTGAAATGATGACAAACAGAAGAGTCAAAACAAATCGAGGACCTTATTCTAAACGAGGGGCTACCTCTGTAGCATGGACATGGTTTGGTTATGAAAAGTCTGACACGGACCAGAAAACTGTACTATGCAAATTATGCAGAAACTGGTCAAAACACTCGACTCCAGGTACACGACGCCCAGCTGAAAACACTTCACACGAGTCGAGTTACCCGAGATTCACAGAATTTACAGAAATTGTAAAATTTTTGTGATATATATCTTTGTCGGGACAATAAATGTCTTATATCGGGATATGAGATTTTGGTCATATCGCACAGCCCTAATTTCATGTTTAAAAATAGCAAACAGAACTGTCATGATTGTGGGTCTCTGACCCAGTGTTTTGTGTTTGTGGACCTTTTTGAATCTTGATAAGTCATTATTGTGGTATTCTTAGAGTTCTCATATTTCCTAGTTTAGTTTTCTTCGTTTATGAGTTTCTGATTCTTGTGTTTATCCTTTGTGGTTCTGGTTTAGTTTCCCTTATTGTTTTGTCCTCAGTGTTTCCTGTCTTGTTATGATAGTCTCTTGTCCTGCATGCATTGTTTAGTTTTCCTTCCCCTCTCTCGTTGCGTCTGATTTGTTCCTGCTGTGTTTCTCTCCTGTTTCCCTCGTTATCCTGCATGTGTATTTAGTCTTCAGTCACACTCTGGTGGTCGTGGTCTCCATGTTTGCAGTGTTTCTTGTGTGTAGTTCATGTTCCTTTATTGTGTCCTGGTTGCAAGAGTCTTAGTTCTAAACTTGTTTCTTTTAGTGTTTTTTTAATTTTTATTTTTGCACCACATCTGACTTCTTCATCACAGCAAATAAAGCTGCCTCTTAGATTTAAATCCCCCGTCTCTGAGTCCTGCGATCTGGTCCTGCCTAGCCAGCCACACAGGTAACAATGATGAGAACAGCCTGTTTAATGCTGTGGTGAATGTATGCAGACCTACTGGAGTGTCATCTTCTGAACATCTTCATTTGGCTCGTATAAACTCCTTTCGTCCACACTATTCCTGCTAAACGGTCACAAAAATATCTAAAAGTTCTCATTTGATGAACGAGGCTGTACAGATTTTTATTGTTATACTAAAACAATTTAAATCCTCTGTTGCAGCAACTTCCCACAAAATTCCAAAAGGACTTTCCACAGTAAAATTCATGTATTTAGACCAAAAGAAGAGCAACAACTAAATCAATATTATCCAAAAAGTCAAAAATCAGTTCACACAGAGATAAGCTTCAGGCATGAAGCAGCGTACGAGATGAAGACTGCAAACCAGCGTCAGCATTTGTTCACCACGGATGCACATATCAAACACCACTTACCGTTTAAATACCTCAGATGGCTACAAATGAGCTGTGCAAACCTCTTAAACAGGCAGAAACATTTTGCAGCGTGCAGCTTTCAAACCATCAGCGTTTGCTCTCTAATTGCCTGAGTCTGCAAATTCTGTGTAAATTGGGCCAATAATCCTGGAGTGTGTCTCCAATCAAATAACACAGAAATGCTTTTATGAATCTCGAGGAGGACAGAGAGAAGGGAAGGAGGAGGGAAGGGTGCATGTCAGAGAAATGGAAACGAGAGAGCAGATGAGTGTTGCTAACAAGTTTTAAGGAGATCACACACGCAGAAGGCAGCAAACACTCCCTGTGAAAGTCATAATGGCCCGCTGGAGATGCTGCATGCTAACTTGCAGCTCCTCGACAGAAAAAGCACATGTTTTTACCCACACGCACGCCTGCTTTCTACAGCATACACAGGTCAGAATGATGGATGATCCAATAGCAAAAACACTAAGAGGAGGAAAGAAAGAGCGGAGTAAGGTAACACCAAGTCAGAGTAACAAATTGACCAGAATGGGGCATGAGAGCCTAACAGATAAGTGGGGGGACTATGAGAGACTAAAGAAGGAACAGATAGAGATTTGGCTGGGAGTGAAAGTGATCAGAGATTCACAACAAGAGGGAAAATGAAAACATTAGAACCTTGCAAAAGGAAACGCGCTGATTTACGGATCTAAAATTCCCCTTCACACACCATAACATGGTTGTAGAAGGAATTGATTCAAACACTACTTTCCAGAGACCTCATCACAAGCCATCCAAGTTACCGCCCGGAAGAGCAGCACAGGAGCCGTTTCTATAAATCATACGAAGGGGCAACAATAAACCTGCTGTCGTTAGGAATGAGGCAGGGAATTGAATGAAAGTCTGGGGACGATCTGCCCACTCCGGGCAAGAAAAAAATCCGAGGCTGAAGGCTGTGATGGAGCCGGAGTTTTACAATTATATTTTTGATTTCGATCCTGGAAGTCAAAGCGGCTGCTATTGAAATCAGGTGCAGGAGAGACGCTTGTGTTTGTTTACATCTGAACTTTGGAGGGAAGACGCAGCTCATTTCATGTCTGGTGAAACGGAAAGCTCGAGTGTGGTGTAATGGGAGGGGAGGAATTTGTAACATGGCAAACGTGGAAAATAATCACTCTGCACCACTGTGGCGTAACACCGAGCCATCTGTTTCTGTTTGAGTCCCGCTAAACCTCTCCTCATACCTGTATTCAGATCAAGCTGCAAGCTGGGAAAATCTTCTTCCTGCTTGTTTTCAACAGCCGCACTCATACACAGGCATTACTCATAATAACCCACAATACCGCATCTAAATGTAACCATGTGTCTAACTAATTTTTCATTATCTAGCTAAACTAACCCTAACACAATCAGACTAAGAGGTCACGCAAAGGTGGTGGTTATGAACTAAATAGGTTAAATCAGGGTTTTTCAATCCAGCTAAAAGCGTGTTCTCAGGAAACGGGTGGCATTTATCCATGCTGACCAATCATCAGCATGGATAAGACACTGTAACCATTGTTGAAAGTTTGTATTTTAACCCAATCTAACCAAGTTGTTTGAAAGGTGAAAACAATATAAAAGAAATAAAGATCCCAGAAACGTTTGCTGATGTGTTTGATGAGCTGGCCATTGATGAGCGTGTGGTGGTGAATGTTTTGGTGCTTAGATTGGGATTTAAAGTCAAATAATAAGGCTCTTCCCCACTCATCCTCACCTGGCACTGATGTTCCCAGCGCTACAAACACCACAGCCGTCACCGAGTCCTTCAGTCCTATCGTGCAGCCGAAGTGAGATGCCAGATCGCCCGTGACTGCGGTGAGGACGCCGATAAGCGATATGGAGACAATGAAGCAGGCCCAGCCGTTCCAGTACTCTGTGGGAGGAACGAAGGCGAACAGAACCTTCCAGAAGACAGTGAGGAAGTGCATGATGTAGTCGAAGCAGGAGGGCAGCCGCTCCTCACCGCTCTCCTCCTCGTCATCATCTCCTTTGGGTAGGTGGGAGATTGAAACGGAGTAAAAGTAACAAGACGATTAATAAAAAGGAATGAGACAAAAAGAAGAAACAAGACAGATAAACTTCAGCTTTAACTCTAGTAAGAGACAGAAGTTTGATATCTTTTCTTGTCACATTTATCTCCTAAGTCTCTTGATTAGCTTAGATTAGCATAAAGAATAAAAAACAGCACCCATTTAGCAGCACTTTAAATCTCACTCAATTTGTATTTGACATTGTTTTAAATGTTTTAGTCATGACTTGATGAAAAGCAGCTGGTATGTAGCTGTAATTCACAAAAACTACCCAATATAAGCAAAATGGCTAACTGCCTGAAATACCTCCCCAACCTAACATTTTAATTAGAAGCTAATAACTTACGTCATATTAATTGATAAGCTTTAGAGATTATAGAAATATATTTAAATAAAGAGTGAGGGGTTGCTTTAAGCAACACAAAATGCTGTATTAATTAAATGCTATAATGTACCAATAATTGTGCTATGTTATGCTAATCTAGCTTGCTAGTAGCCCATACTATGCCCATATATGAGAGCTGTTTCATTCAATCCCATTGCCACCAGTTTACAGAGTCAAGCATGCAGCCTTGCTTTCTGCCTTTACAAATATTTGCAAAAGAAAAATTTTTTGAGTGTGATACTGTAATCAAATGTCACCATAGCAACTCGCAAGTAATTTTGATACATTTCTTCTGTCCAAGATATTCCAAAGTGAATTCTAAGGGATATTATTGAATAGTATACAAAACCTGCTCTACTAATTCAATACGTGCAGAGTCCCCCCTCATCCAACATCAGTTTCTGCCTACGTATCCCCCAATTCGGATGAATGGGCAGAAATTCCTACAGACACACTCCAAAGAGTGGAAGCAGTCATAACTGCAACTCCATATGTGCATGTGTAACCTGCAGGTAGAAATATTCTTTTGTCCATGTACTGCATTTCCTACAATGTCAAACTACTTTACATAACTAAAACTGAATCAGACTTCCATCTGTGACAGCAAAGAAACAGGCTATGAATGTAATAAACGAAGCTTATGCGTAAGTTCAATAGGGAAGATCTGTAGTCACTCATCTGTCTGCTTCCCAGGTGTTGATGGATAATCTAAGCTTTACATCACTTCCACTTTCCCACGCTGTCAAGCTGATTGTGACATCACATGTCTAGTCCAATCAGCTTTCTGCTGGCCTTCTTCTGACCAATCAGCTTTCACTCTGCGTACTGTACATCTGTCATTATTCTTTGCAGTTGCCTTCGTGCAACTCAGGCTCCATTCAAGCCTCCATCTTCATCTCCACCACCAGTGTCTAGACTCTGGGGAGTCCTGCTCTAATCCCTATCACCACTGAGATCCCGTTCTGCTGCGCCGGGCCATCAGGGTCTAACCGCCAAATATCTCAAACTGAATTCTGTACATCAATAAATCACTTTCAATTCCTTCTGATGATCTCTCCTTATCAAAATACACTATAAGGGTCCAAATTAAATGCTGAAGTCACATTTTAAGAAAAGTTCTTTCCCTTCATCCACCATCTTTAAAAATAAAGTCAAGAAAAATGTCAGCCAAAGACACTGTTCATAAATCAAAATGAAGCCGTGTGTGTGTGTGTGTGTGTGTGTGTGTGTGTTACCTGCACTGACTGTAACAGCATTGACAAACTGTTCCCTCCAGCTGCTGCTTCCCACCACCAAGGCCAAGTTTGTCTTCTTGATCAGCTTATCTACTGTACTCTACACACACACACACACGCACACATGCGCGCACACGCACGCACGCACGCACACACGCACGCACGCACGCACAAATATACAAACGCACAAATATCAACCATGCCATTGCATACAAATCAGGCAGAACAGGAAAAACACAACCCTCAAGCTGTTAATTCATTCGCAGCTATACAGAAAGAGGAAACTGCTGACGACTTCAGGCCTTTCGGTTAAAACCCAAACCATACATTCATTGAAATTTTCAGGCCCCGGTACTCCAGGTATAAGGTGTGCTAATTAATATAAAGCTGTGAAATCAGCCGTGCCACATTTTACTTATGCTCGCTGTAAAATTCAGGAAGAAAAAACCTTCAGGCATACTGCTTCAGTGTTTTAGTCTAAAACAGGCAAGAGAAGAAAGATGATAAAAGATGTTGTAAAAGAGCTGACAGCAGCTAAGGAGCACAGCACTAGCAGTCATTACTGTAACTTTACTGACAGGGCTTGGAGGGAATTCTGAATTTTTTACTATCTACTATGTTAAAAGCATCATAAAATGGTAAATGTGCCGTATTTTAGCAGTCACGGTAAGATAAATTACTAATTAATCTCGATGTGTGGCAACGCTTAATGATTTATAGATTGGGATGTGATTAACCCAGGCACCATTAGTACATTTCAGTATTGTACAGTAGATGATTAGAGAACAAGCTTTGCATGCATGAAAATGATGGATTACCTTTTCAGCATGCCTAAGAAGTGTATTTACTGCTCTCTGCACACAGACACACACACACACACACGCACACAAAATGACAAAAAATGGACACGTGAGATGATGAAATCTGTACGCAGACACACGAGTGGTGACATTTCGAGACCAAACAGAGATGAAAATGACGAATGAGAGGACAAATGAATATGACAATTAACAGGAAAAATAAGTAACGATATGATGACACAAGATGAAGAGACAGGCATCAGTTAGGGGTCCACGTGAAGCCACAGAGAGCCCTGTCGTTGTGTCGTTATTGTGTTTCCCCGGCTGCACACTCGTGACGATGGTGTTCGTCAGAGTTAGAAATGGATCAGATCTAGGAAGGCCCGCCTCCTAGTGTTAAAATATTTATGAAAGAACAAAGCCAGGCTTGTTTAATGCCTGTTTTGTACTGAAATATGATGAAAGCATATCGTCTGTGTTGGTTCTCAGTCATCCAGATGATGGAAGGAGCTTGAAAAGAAAGCGACTTAACTTCTTTGAGTTTCTGAAAACATCGTGTTAATAAATTATTTACTTATTTTTTGCAGGTCCTTTTTAAAAATCAGCAGCATCCTACCAGAGAAGGCGTTGCTCTACATGCATCCACTGCAAAATGAAAGAATGACACTGGACATTTAGTTTTAGCGACCCAGCAGGACTTACATGGATCTGATCTGATCACTCACATACACCTGCTCTGGTAAAGGCATTGTTAGTGCAGTATCGGCACGCACAGACACACACTTACCTTGAACTCGTAGGACTCCTCTATGACCACTTCTACCTGTGTGTGTTCGCCCAAACTGGGACAGCCCATCTTGGCCACCTCTTCCTCCTCCGCCCCCACCAAAGGCTTGTTTTCATTCGAGTCACCTAGGTGACAATAGAGATGAGTAGTGATGAGACTTTACAGTAATAACAGAAACAGCTACCTGCCCAGCCTGGCAGCACAGAAGCACATGACAAGAACAGGTTGGTGCTCGTTGGTTAGCAGTGACTGTACTTTCAAAATAAGAGCAAACCTTTCAGTTTCAGTGGATGTGCCCTGCCAGGATACTGTTTACGCGTTTTCATTTTGAAGTGTCTTTATTACTGCTCCATTTACTTGCACACTGACATTTTTAAAGGCCAAAGCTAGTTTGCTAATATTTTCACATATAGGACTTATTATTATCTAAGATCCTACTTAAAAAAAAGTCAATGAAAAGATATTAAAAATAAGGTCTGAAATGTTTCCTTGTGTTATTCTGAGTTTTTTTGTTTAACAGTGAGATATTTTTAAGGTTTTAAGATGAAAATTGTGTCTAAAATGGTAGAGAAAATATCAAATACTAGTTACATATCATACAACAGAACATAACATGTAACATGATAATTGTACTGTTTTATTTATGCAGTGATGGAAATCTTCTATCATCTATCAATACTTTCCACCTTTATTGGTCCATACCTTCTGTTTGGGAAGGATAGCCAATCAGAAGACTTCAAGACAGAGGAATTAAATAAAAGCTGTTTTAGCAACAAAGACCAATGTATGAGATACAAAAGAATGATATATATATAACAGTGAATCATCCAATGTCACTCTGGTGGAGTGCACGAAAAAAAATATGGAGCTGGAAATGAACATAATAGGTCCATTTTTAAATTTCTACTCTAGTTTTGGGCAGTCACATTACTCAAATAACTCCGTTTAATCATCAAATCTTGCCCTGAGGTTTCTCCATACAGTCGTTTGCTTAATCTTTTAATTTGATAAATTTCAGACATCATCTTAAGACGCGTCTCTTTTTTTCATTATTCTCAGCAGAGACCACAGCAGTGTGAACTATTACTGAGAAAACGTATGCTGTGGGTTGTGAAAGAATATTTATGTATATGCTAAATCTTTAAACATGGGAAACGCGAGCTTTATCCGCAAAAACTTTACGTTTTCTCCCACCTCTGTATTGCGCGCTTCCGTGTATGCTGCAGCATCTCTCCCAAACGTCTCCTTGTTCGCTCACGTTTCCAAAACAGACAGCAAGTTATTAATTTTTGCCGTTATCAGTGTGTAGCTCGCTGTAATTGAAAAGCTGTGTACTGTATGTGACAGCATTATGTGGTTGCCAGTCTGCTCGCTCTGTGACAGCATTATAAAACCCATCACATTTCTGTGTAATGAAACATGCCACAGCATGCCGCAGGCTATGGGCTCTTCCTGTGTGACATCTACACTATAGACTCTTTGAGAAGAGCCTCTGTGTGTGTTTAAAGAGTGATAAAGCAGGAAGATTCTGGTGCGGCTAATTGGCTGGCACGTCTTTAAAGACACAAAATGAACGCGGCGAAGAATTTTTGTTTAAAAAATACGTGAACTTTCTGATTGGGACACATTAGCTGCTCTTTGAAGCTGCTAACACATTCAGAGGTACAATGCTGGTAATGTTTAGCACTAAATGTGGAATATATACATACATATATACATATATATATATATATTGACTTTGAGCATTGGTTCTCTCCAGCCTTGAGTCACCTCGGGGAGATCAGCTGTCTCTCTGTTAAAGAAGCCTTTTAAATTTTCATCTAAAGCTTCTCACATTCTTAAAAAAAAAGAAGGGCGGGGGCTTAAATGTTTTAGATTCTTGGACTTCAAAGATCTGCGCGGGTTTTGAATTAGCAGATGACAGTACGAGAGGAAAGAAGCTGATCGAGATGGTTCATTTGCCACGACTAAACTGCAAATTGTGTTCCATCTGCGACGACGCTGCGATACTACAGCGATTCCAGACAACGAAAGGAAGCTTTCTGGCTTTTGTTTATACTGCATACACCAAACCTCCTTATGGTGACATAATTAAGCAGATCACATGCTGATTTGGATGAGTTATTACTCCTATCCCTCCTGTGACACGATTACTTCAAAAACGCATCGCAGCTCAGGGCCAGTGATGTCGGAATCCTTCCCAAGTCACATCCTCAGTGGCTCAAAGTGAAATGTTTCCACGGTTAATCTGAGTTTAGATTGGAGGCTTCAGGTAATCAATGCTGGTCTCACCTTGTCTCCAAGCGACAGATGTGCACCGGGCCTGTTTGCTGATAAATAAAGACGTCATTCTGTCTGTCACACTTTCCCTGTTCCTGCTCTCACTCCTGACTTCTTGATACTCTCTTTGAACAAACACACACACACAGACACACAGACACACACACACACACACACAGACTCACCGTGTTTCTGTCCTATCTCCAACAGAACAGGCTCTCCCAGCTCGATGGTAAAGGTCTTGTTCTTCTCATACTCTTCATCATCAATGATTTTCACCTCGATGATCTTCCTGTTTGTTAAAAGAAGAGAGAGACGACGAGGCTCAGTGTGTGCAGTCCAGATAATTACCTTTTTTGGTTTTATGTTCTCCATCATAGTAAGAGCTTGTTCATGGCAAAGGACCAGTCTATTAAAACTCTCCCCGTGACAGGTTGTAATCGGACACGAGGTCATTTCTGCTGCCCCTACACTGAAAAACACTGACATAAGTAATCATTATACTACCTAACTTGAAGTAACAGTTATAATAAACACACCCAAAAAAGGAAAAATAATTAGATTTGATCCCCTTGTGATTTCTCTCAGAGAAAAGGATGACGAGTCTGAGCAAAACTGAAGGTTGAAGCCCAGATTGGCAGTACTCGGGGGAACGGCGTGTGAGGGTGCTAGCTACCTCCCAGGCTTGACAACTGACAGTGATGCTATGAACACCACAACTACTGGGGAAACATTTTCAATCAGGAGCGCCCTGGGGAGCAACTAAAATGCAGTGCAGAGAGTTTTGAGGGGATGTGTAAATTGGAGCGGAAAAAAGGTGTGGAGATTTTCAAAAATAGCTATTGGAGCACTTCTTAGTACTGCTTGTGTTGCAAAAGACAGATTATTGATATATTTAAATAATGATTTTATTGTCTTCATAAAGAAAAGAATCTTTGAAAACCATAAAAACGAATAATTTGTGTCTAAAACTGCAGACATTAAGGTGTCAGTGCAGGGAGGCTGTAAATGTGACGGGAGTTTAACAGGACAGACTGAAAGCTGTGATTGCTTTGCATGTGGAGTTTCAATGTAAACCAACAATAATTAAACCATTCTTTGTATGTGGCAAATCTATTGAATCAATTTTCCCCCACTTTAAACATCTGCAATTTTTTTAACCTCACAAAGTGTGCGCGTTCATATTTACTGGCTTGTTATTTCCTTCAGTTTCCACTCAGTGCATAGCTTCTGTCTTTCTGCGTGTTACTTTTACCAGCTGGTTTCGCATGTTTAACCGGCTTCATATCTATGTTTCTTTGTGTGAAGCACAAAAACCCAGACCAGAGCTACTTCTTAGCAACTGAGGACTTTTAGGAGGAGACTAGGTTAGTTGGATCTTGCGTCATGATGATTGAAAGCCATGGCATTCGCAAGGCCTCTGTGTCGGGCTCCTCAGACAGCTAACGACCCCCGGTTCCTGCCAGGATTGGTCTGGTAAATGCTAGATTACGCGTGAGAAAACTTTTATGCTTGGGATTTCAAATCCCGAGGACTGGATTCACTCTGCTTGACTCAGATGTGGCTGAATGCTGGAGCGTTCAGCTGTGTGTTAACACAAAGTCCAGGTGTCATTCTCAGCAAATTCACCCCAAGATCAGACCATGTAATGTACATAGAAACCACAAAGAGCCAAGAGTTGGAGCTCAGAGAGTACGGACTTCAGTTAACATTTAATGAAACGTTAAATCTTAAAGGTCTTGACGGTACAATCAGAAAAGGAGTAGAGCTTGTTTTGAAGGAGAAAGCCTCTTCTTTCTAAAAGAACACGGCAAAGTTGCATCAACAAAAACCACAATATGTCTGGAACAATCCTTTGGAAAGACAAGAACAATGTAGAGATGTTTGCCTGTAAAGCACGCTGAAGCATCTGGAGAAAAGCAAACTCAGCATATCATCAAAAGCACCACATATCGACTGCCAACCACGGGGGTGGAGGGTGATGATTTGGGGTTATTTTGCAGTCACGGGGCCTGGGCAGCTTGCAGCTATTGAGTCAACCATGAACACCTCTGCATATGAAAGTAGTCAAATGTATGGCCATCTGTCTGACAGCTAAAGCTTGTCTGAAACAGGGTCATACAGCAGTGATCCCAAGCACAGCAGCAAATCTACAACATAACGCCTGAAAAAGAAAACAACTGAGGTGTTGCAATGGCCCAGTCAAGGTCCAAACTCAACTGGATTCTAACAATCCCACATACAAAGACAATATGCACTGCAAGCACCTTCAATCAAGGCTATTCCCTCTAATTTGGGTGTTCTATCGAAGATGTTAATTTCCTATGTCTGCCTTTGCTTTGCACCACGGTACTGCTGCTGATTCTGAATGGTGGGATGATATTTACTCATCACTACCAAACACATCTGTGCGTTTAGATTCAGTGGAAGATGAGGTCAAAGCCTATACACTAAACTGCTCGATGTAAATAAACATTTCAAACAGAACTGTCTGGCTGAACCAAACTTAGTTCATTCAGGACAACGATAACCAAAAGGAGATTGTTTGGTTCATCTGCAATGCGTTATATTTGGCGGTATGGCTCAGTTCTGGGAAGTCCCCACACTTCCAAGCGCATACGTGGAAAGCATAAGCCAGGGAGAGCAGTTAAAGCTACAGCAATGCCACATAGAGATATAAGTCACAGCTGATTATTATTTTAAGACCATAAAATAAAAAACTGGTTAAATATAACAAAGCCAAGAAAGGAAGATTTTATCAGAGAGGACAAAGCTTGAGCAAATTATACTTCCAATTACTTTAAATGGAGAGATTAAATGTTTCACTAAAGTCATTACGTGCAGCGTTTATCCTCACTTTAAAAGGAAAACTACTTCTGTAGCTTATAAAGTATTTCTCTGTTTAATTGTTATTTGTGCGTGTCGTGCAGCAGCTTTGATGCTTCTAAGGAAATTTCATCAGGTTTGGTATCTTTCTGGCCCGTTTCATCTTCATCACCACGATCCGTCTGCGTCTACCAAGCGGAGAGGAAGAAAGAGCGTTCACTTCCACCTGGTTGTGTAATCGCACGTTTCGCTGTGAGCCATGTTGACTATAATGCGGAAAATAGGCTTTGCTTCAGCAGAAAGAGGAAGCGAGAGGGAGAAATGGGCGGGGAGACGTATATGGAGGGTGGAGGAAGGGCAGCGAGGGAAAGAGAAAGCGACGGAGGGGAAGAGACGTGGAAGTCCATTTTTATCGTTGGCGAGCTGTCAAGGCAACAGTGGATGTAACTTGATTGATTTGGTATTTCCAGCGTCACATCAGCGTGAGTGGCCAACTCCCAGCCAGTGATGGAGACGAAATTAAAATGTTGTTTAATCAGATGTGAAACAAAAGGAGATAAAAAACATCCTATATTTAGGAGGACTACAGGGAAGAGAGATTACGCTCGTTATATCCACAGACTGTAAATAAAAAATGGTGGCGCTTTTAACGCTGTATATTTAGGCAAGTTTACTTGGGAATCTGTGGCGACTGACTTGCTTTTGGAGCCAGCCATCAGTGGCCATTAGAGAAACTGCATTTATGTCTTCTTCTTGCTTGATTATGTAGCTACTTTCATGCCACAAGGTGTCGCCACAGCGGGTAGCTCCACATGTCAGTCTTAGCATCCTGACGCATCCCCAAAGGGGATTTGTGTCTTTAGCTGGAACATTTGATATTGTTCAAATGATTTCACAAATGAAATTGTAATGCTGAGTTATGTAAAGATTACACAGACATCGTTAAACCTTTTCCTCTGAACTGGGATTTTCTTCTTTTTTTTTTGTAGCTTAGCATTTGTTACGCAGCACGTTTGTCAAACTTCTGATTATCTAGAAACTACAAAAACTGGAAGAAAATCATAAAGTTCGAAAATAATTATCGTAGTATGAACTCTAATGCTCTCTGGTCACCATGGTAATGCCTAAATATTTCTTGAAAAAAAAAAAGACGCACAACTACAACACAGGAAAAGACCCAGGGAAACCGAGTTAACGATAAAAACCCTGAAAAAAATAAATTTCACACCCGAGCCGGTACCGGTCCGTGGCCCTGGGGTTGGGGGCCGCTGCTCTACTATTAAATTCAATGCTTTAAAACCCAACACTTTGACTTAAAGTGAGCTTCTGGCAGCGGAGCTATATTCTACTTTTAGTGGAGATATCATCTGAATTTCAGGAGCGGGGCGTCTCCTCCTTCACCCCCCTCCGGCCTCAGGCTATAAAAGCCCCCTTTCACCTATACCTGCTGTTCTCATTTTCATGCCCCACCCTCCCCCCCCATTTCCCCTCTCTTTTCTCTTCCTTTCCTTCATTCACTTCTCGTTAGGAGCCGTCGCAGTCCCCTTTGAGGCCTTCCCCAAACCGCAGCACCAGCTCACACTTCCTCATGCCTCATCGCCCATCGTTACAGAGGATGTGGTCCCAGCTAGTTATTAGCTCAAATTTAACATCAGCTGCTAAAATGTGAACATCCATCTGAAACCAAGAACTCAACGTTCTAAACACACACAAAAAGACAATTAAAAGGTAAATTAAAAAGGCACAATCGCAGTAAACTCCAATGTGACCTCATAGAAGGAAGAACGAGAGCAGTAACAATAAATAAGCACAAACTGACAGTGACATGGGCGAGGGAAGACAGAGGTAAGTGGATAGAGAAGTAATGAAATGCAAAGCAGGCAAACAGAGAGGAGGAGGAAGTGAAAGAGGAGAGATAGGGATGGGATGAAGAAAAAGGAGGTGACAGAGAGGAAAAAGGCTGGAAGATGAATATGAGTAATACATAGAGTCTACTGAGATGTGAGGGGTTACAGCTAAATACACACAGAGTTCATTCAGTGTTACAAGACAACCAGGACAGAGAACCATGACCATAAAATGCCCTTTGCTGAATTGAAGAATGAGGCACTGTGTCTACGTTCATAGATAAACAACAGAACTTGATGCATAACTCTAACCCCAGCCATTCAGGTGATGTCATTTTTATTTTAGATAAAATAAAACATTTGTTTTGGTAATCAGGAAACAAAGAAGATCATAAGTCTAAATGACATGTCTGTTTTGCTTTTCTCAAAACATAGCGTTACTGTAACGGATTACAGGTGGGAGCTGAGGCTCAGAGGTGATGCACATCTCCTCTCCTCATTGCACAGCCTCATGTCCACTCTACAGTGACTAAGGCCTCCTGCAGGAGTGTCCACTCCCTCCCAGACACCTAGTGATGATGTGAGCCAAAATGATGATGAGAGTGTGTCTAGTAGGAAA